CACTTCATTCGCAACTGCCGGGTCATCCCCGAGGCGTTTCTGGACCCGTATGCATGAATGCACAAAATCGGGGAGGCGGAGCACCCGTGCTGCTGGACTGATTGAAGGCACTCCTTAGTTGGGTTGAAAAGTCCCCTAGGCCCTAGTGGTTGTCCAATACGGATGGATTCGGACTGGCCGACCCTGTTGTTTGTGAACCGGTCAGCTCGGAGCAATTGTGTGTGCGTTTTGGGCTGCTTCGCCTGGTAGAACTTAACCCATTTGGAGTAGATTTGTTCTGCTCAGTCACCCACGACGGATGGAGCTTGCCAACTCACGGCATTTGATTTGAGCTTGCAGCAGCAGGGGGTTCCAACCCTCCGGTTGTGGAAGATTGCAGTTTAGGTTCCCGCTTCCTGTGAGTGACATTTGGAACCCCCTTGATCGTGGCAAAGTAGCCATGGGGATAGGAATCCCGCTTTGGTATTAAAGAAGCGGGCAACCATTTCCCACGCCCATGCCCAACTAGGGTCAAAACTGTCTTCGAAGTCAAGTGCATGCTGGCGGCGTCAATGTTTGCCCTTAAGCGGTAGGTCGCAGCGTATGTGGCAAAGGTCCTTCAGCTGTTTCAGCTTAGCGATGAAACAGTTAATTGCAGCAGATGAGAAGCATTCGCAGATGGTAGAATGTTAACGGCTTTTTGCACCCTCACAATTGGTTGTTCCATATATGGGTTTGCCTGTTTTTGAGGGTGCCCCTTTGTTGGCGGGTTTTGAGGAACACCACAAGCAAAAAGCACATGTTTTGCGGGGGTCGCCTTGGAAAAAAAGCAACATTCATACTGATGGACGAAATCCTGCACCACCTAAGAAACCCTGGAAGGATGATTGCCCTGTAGAGACCAACAAACACAGGTTTCAACCATGGTCATTCAACCTCAAAATGTAAACTTTAGAGCCTCCGGCTCAGTCCGCCGACATTGTCCTCTCCCTTTTCTCCTTCTTCCTCTCGCCCTTGTCTCCCTGGTGTGTTCTGTCGTCCTCTCTCCCTCCCTCCGCTCCCCATCCTCCCCATCCCCCCAAGCCACTCTCTCCCCAATCTCCCTCTCTCGTATGTATGTATGTATGTATGTATGTATGTATGTATGTATGTATGTATGTATGTATGTATGTATGTATGTATGTATGTATGTATGTATGTATGTATGTATGTATGTATGTATGTATGTATGTATGTATGTATGTATGTATGTATGTATGTATGTATGTATGTATGTATGTATGTATGTATGTATGTATGTATGTATGTATGTATGTATGTATGTATGTATGTATGTATGTATGTATGTATGTATGTATGTATGTATGTATGTATGTATGTATGTATGTATGTATGTATGTATGTATGTATGTATGTATGTATGTATGTATGTATGTATGTATGTATGTATGTATGTATGTATGTATGTATGTATGTATGTATGTATGTATGTATGTAATGTATGTATGTATGTATGTATGTATGTATGTATGTATGTATGTAATGTATGTATGTATGTATGTATGTATGTATGTATGTATGTATGTATGTATGTATGTATGTATGTATGTATGTATGTATGTATGTATGTATGTATGTATGTATGTATGTATGTATGTATGTATGTATGTATGTATGTATGTATGTATGTATGTATGTATGTATGTATGTATGTATGTATGTATGTATGTATGTATGTATGTATGTATGTATGTATGTATGTATGTATGTATGTATGTATGTATGTATGTATGTATGTATGTATGTATGTATGTATGTATGTATGTATGTATGTATGTATGTATGTATGTATGTATGTATGTATGTATGTATGTATGTATGTATGTATGTAATGTATGTATGTATGTATGTATGTATGTATGTATGTATGTATGTATGTATGTATGTATGTATGTATGTATGTATGTATGTATGTATGTATGTATGTATGTATGTATGTATGTATGTATGTATGTATGTATGTATGTATGTATGTATGTATGTATGTATGTATGTATGTATGTATGTATGTATGTATGTATGTATGTATGTATGTATGTATGTATGTATGTATGTATGTATGTAATGTATGTATGTATGTATGTATGTATGTATGTATGTATGTATGTATGTTATGTATGTATGTTATGTATGTATGTATGTATGTATGTATGTATGTAATGTAATGTAATGTAATGTAATGTAATGTAATGTAATGTAATGTAATGTAATGTAATGTAATGTAATGTAATGTATGTATGTATGTATGTAATGTATGTAATGTAATGTAATGTAATGTAATGTAATGTAATGTAATGTAATGTAATGTAATGTAATGTAATGTAATGTAATGTAATGTATGTATGTATGTATGTATGTATGTATGTATGTATGTATGTATGTATGTATGTATGTATGTATGTATGTATGTATGTATGTATGTATGTATGTATGTATGTATGTATGTATGTATGTATGTATGTATGTATGTATGTATGTATGTATGTATGTATGTATGTATGTATGTATGTATGTATGTATGTATATGTATGTATGTATGTATGTATGTATGTATGTATGTATGTATGTATGTATGTATGTATGTAATGTATGTATGTATGTATGTATGTATGTAATGTAATGTAATGTAATGTAATGTAATGTAATGTAATGTAATGTAATGTAATGTAATGTAATGTAATGTAATGTAATGTAATGTAATGTAATGTAATGTATGTAATGTGATGCAATTTAAAGTAATGTAATGTGATGTTGTGTAATGTAATGTATGTATGTATGTCTGTATGTCTGTCTGTATGTATGTCTGTATGTATGTATGTATGTATCCTTGCACTTCCCCTTTGCTCCCCAGTATTTCCCGCAAAAAACACTGTTTTTCCAGCGTTTTCGCAAAGATGATGTCCAAAAACACAGAGTTTTTCCAGATTTTCGGCAAAAGGATGCAGGAAGCCCAAGCCAGCAAAAAAGCCGGCAGGGGGAATCGAGCCTGGGACCCCTGTTTTGCGACACCGGGTCCCCGAAGACTACGTTTAGTGGAACGTCATCAAATTGCCGCGCGGTCCTTGGGGGGGGGGGGCCCCCCCCCCCCACGTATCAGACGTCGGGTGGGGGGGGGTTAGGGGGGGGGTTATCCTCTATCCTCTCTTAGGTGTCCGACACGCCGAGCAATGTCGGCGGACATCGGAACCCCCAAACACACCAGATTCTTCTCTTTTTCGCCCAAAGGACAAAAGCAAAGTTCCCAAATTCGGCACCTTAGCTGGTGCCAGTGAGGAGCTCGCGCGTTTCCCTCCCAGCGCTTGGGTCCCCCGCGCTCTCGCGGAGAAATCCTTCGCCAGGGCTTCATCTCGCCCTGGGCGGCCGCAGAAAAGCCGGAGTACCGGCAGGGCGCCGAGACGAAAGCTGGGGGTTTTCGGGGGGCCCAGGGGGTCCCTTGATACCTTCTAAGGTACTGAACGACCCCATTTTACCCCCAAGCCATCCTAGGGTTGATTCATTGATTCTCCAGTGTTTTTCAACCATCGTTCTTTGCAAAAACCGGCTGTTTCCCTGGGTTTGCGAAGGTTTTCTGGAAAGGAGGTCGATTTTCCCATTCTTTACCATCGTTCTTTGCAGAATCTGGCCGTTTCCCTAGACTTCCGGTGGTCTTCTATCACTTCTATCCCTATAGAAAGAATGGGCTTTGCAGTGTTGCACAATACTGTTGACCCCATATCAAATCATATCAATCAACCAACCAGTTTGTTAGGGGAGTTGCCGGGTTTCCAATACTGAGGATTCCCCAAACCCAGGGATACCCCCTAATAATTCACAGTTTTTGTTTTGTTATATATATATATATGGGGTCAACATGATGTTGCCCATGCCCATAGGTAGAAAAGAACACGTGGGGGGTTTCAAGGGAACAAGGGTACCCACAAAAAACACACACACAACGAACACAGGTGTGGATTGTGTGTGTTGTGGCCGGGGTTCTAAGATCACTGAATGTGTTTCTACAGCTGATGTCTTCCCCCCTTCGGTGCGTGTGAGAATGATAGGTTTGTGTGTTTTTTGCTGGAATTGTTCTTTCATGCTGATTTGGGGTCTCTCCGAATCAGGGTCTCCTGCAAAAGGGACCTCAATAAAGGTTGGGTTCCTCTTGGCTTGCATTTTCTTGGACGCACCTGCACCATCTGGCTGGCATTGCGAATGTTCGGCCAATGGACAATGGCATCTTTTTGCTTTAAGTTTCCCTCACACACACACACAGTCCCCCTGTTGCTGGCCAAACCATGAGGGGTGACATTTATTGAGCAAACATGTAGCATGGCTGCTGGTGCCTATGCACATTCCGGCAAATAAAATTGGCAGAGCCAATACAATGGGAGGGGGCTTGCAAACTATAAGATCTGGTTCTGCAGGCATGAAATTATGAGAGGCTGTCAGTGAATGTTAGATTTTCACACGCCCCCACCCCTTAAGGGAGGGGGGGGCCGACACCCACACGCATTCTATTTACCTGTTGCCCAACCCGCAACTTGCCAGTCAAGCATCTCCCTGGCTCGTTTGAAAAAGAAGCTTGTTCGCCGCCCGCGCCGATGCAGCCAATGGCTTGCGGGATAGGAGCTGTAGGTAGTTGCTTGCCCTGAAAGAGCAGAGGTCGGCCCAACGTTTGAGTTCAAGGGCCGGGAACCGATGCCAAGTTGTCCCGGGTTTGCATGCGTTTAGCCAACTAGCCTTTCGCTCCAAAACTCAGCTGGCTGAACCTGGCATCAGCGTACTGCAGCACGGCCGGGAACCGCACAAGGCCAGCACTTGGCAGCAGACCCAAAGCTAATTGAGCAAACGTGATCCGTTCTGGACTTGATTTTTGTTGGGATCATATTTGGTGGCCAACACAAGGTTTGGATGTGTTTGACCCTTTTGCCTCTGGCAGTTCGTAGTCTGACACAGACCGACGATCGCCTCGAGAATCGACC